TGTGGCCTAAGCCCAAAACCCCTTGACTGTCCTCGATCCTCTTTTTACTCTGGCTTTGCGTACCGATTACTATTTACAACTGCTACCACGGTACTTACTAATCAAAAATGTTTTATTTCCGGCGAAAAACAAAAAGTGGGTTACCACAATCATTTCCTAACAAAAATTTTGATATCAAATCACATGATAACGATGGAAACACGTTATCATGTGATTTAGTCTGTAATAAATCAAATGATTTTTGATAAGCAACATTACTTTATTTTGTTGATAAGCAACATTACTTTGAACGGAAGCACCACATACTCTTGTAATTTGGATCAAAAGTAATTTCATTGGATGTTGTAAACATCTTTAATTAGTTAGACTAAGGTAAATATTACTCTAGATGAAGTTATATTTAATTTAGGGTGTACAAATCACAGTTGTCACGTCATCAATCCACTTGCTTCGTAGGTAGAGAGTAAACAGCGTCACATCAACAATCAGTATCCTTGTTATGTAAGCATTGAGTGTGTTAGATAGTGTGTTAATTGGAAGTGTCAAGCTAGCAATCCATGTGCTTCTTAGGGTTATTCGTCATATCTACCATCCACTCCTAGTGAATTAGATGGTGGATATGAAATCTTATCTCATTGTACTTGTTGGTAAGATTTATATAAGGGAGAGTGAAACCATTGTTGGTATCTCTCATCTTTAGAGTTTATGTTTTCATTTACGATTGAGCTTCTCTCTAAATCTTGATGTTACATATTCTTTTCAAGTTCTTCTCTATTCCCACATGTCGTGCAATGGCTATATCATGATTTTTTGATAAAATTATTATGTGTAACTCTTGGTCTTGCAAAATCCATACACGTTGTTTGTAAAATAAAAAATTTCTCGCCTTTGCTACCTTTCAGCTTGTAGTGTCCTCATGATCTTTTCATATTCCTTTATGACATATGTCATCTTGCTTCACCAATCAGCTTAGTATAACACTGGGATTTAGGAAAAAGTTCACTCGAAGATGGAAACATAAACTTTGAAGATGAGAGATACCAACAATGGTTCTACTCTCCCTTATATAGCTCTCACAAACCACTACAAGAAGATAAAATCTAATCTCCATCATCCATTCCACTCCTCGTGGATGACTGACGTGGTAGATAACATTACAAGCACACGGATCGCTGACATGGCGCTACCAACTAACACACTCAGTCCTTATCTAACAAGCACATCAGCGATCCGTGATGTGACGTTGTCAACTAACACACCTATACTCTATCTACCAAGTGTGCGGATCGTTGACGTGGCAGCTATGACAAATGCACGCTTAAGTATTTATATCAACATTTAGTGTAACCTCTACTTTAGTTCCAACTAACTAAAGATGGTTACACTACGTGCATTGAACGAGCTCTGATAGCAATTGAAAAGCTCAAACATCAAGATTGATTAGCACGCACGACAATCACAATACCGAGATAATGTAGTACACCGTCCATAGACAACGTTCACAAGCAGGAGTAAAAACTTCATTAAAGTATAGGTGTATACACAATCTCCATAGTCAAACTCTCCTCCTTTCTGTTCACTCTGTAAGTGCAATACGGAAATGTACGTGGTGAATGTATCCTTCTCTCTTCTATACAAGAAGAAATAAGTGCACATCTTAGCTAACCTAATCACAATTAACTTCATAACCATGATTATCACTAATTGAAGTTAATCCAAGATAAAGTTAACCTAACAAGATTGTTTAAGTTACAAATAAAAATTCTAGAAGTTTCAATATGTCAAATCACGTATCATTATCTAATATAGGAACAAATAAGTTTCTAGAAAGTTTGTATATATCAATGACATGTTGCCATGTAATGAAATTTTATTAAACTTATTATAATTTATTGTAGTAAAATTAAGTTAAATGATAATTACTATATAATACTATGATAATTATTCAAATTATATAGATAAAGAGATAAATAAAAAATCCTCAAGAGAGTTCATTTTGTGAAATTTTATTTCATCAATAGCATATTAAGTTACACTTTATCTTGGAGTGTTAATGAATGATTGAATTTAAGTGATAAGTGAAAAGATTATATAAAAAAGTGTATAAATTACAAATATGTAAAGAATCTTTGTCTTTTAGAATGATGATGAGATATCAAAATTCATATAAAATAAACCTTAGTGAGAATTGTAAAACGCAATATGCAATTGCTGATGTATAATATAACATGAAAGCTAGTGAAACTTTCAAGTATTAAGTTTTGATTCAATGCAGATGACTACATTAGTTGAAATACAACTCATTACATGACGAGATTAAAATCTTCAAAGACATGATGATGGCTAGAGGTTTTACACACGACAACAGTGAGTATTACAACAAACTTTTTCACTCATAGCAAAATATGTTACAATTTGATTGATATATGCATTAGTTGCAATAATTACATTGATTGTGTTTTAAATGTATGTAGTTAGACAAATTCTATTTGGATCATTAGAGTAGAATATTTACATGAAAAAATCACTTGAATTTAAGAAAAAAATTTCCTATGTTATTCATTTGTAGATTTTTGAAATCATTATATAGATGAAAACAAAATCTTAAGCAAGCAATGAAATGCAAAATGTGTTAAATTTATGAATTTATAAGGAATTTCACATGATGTGTATAACTACATTTTTTTCACAAATGTGAAAAAAATGAATAATGAAATCTTCAATTTCATTTTTCTAGTATTTTACATGAATGACATGCTAATTTTGGTAAAAAACCAATGATACACAATTGCAAAAAGCAATTGAAATATTCATTTTAGATAAATTATTTAGATAATTTCAAAATTTTATTAGAGATATATGTTCATAAAGATATAGAGAAAAAAATATTAAGATTGAGTCAAGTGAATTACATTCAACGTATATTTGACTAATTTTGAGAGAGTATGAACTTCTTTGGCAGCATAATTCATGATTTTTGCAATTTAATGTTCAACCGATGCTATTTAGAAAGAAAACATATTTATTCATTTATTAAGACAAAATCGTGGGAAGATTTATGAATTTCATGAAATCTACAAGATCTAATATTGCTTCACTTATGTACAAGGTGAGCAAGTCAAATGCAATAAAATTGCATTAGACATGCACTTGCTCACTTGAGTGTTTAAAATGAATTTTTAAACACTCAAAAAATACTAAAAATTATAATATATTCTTTGAAGCTTTTTAAAATAGTGCATAATTCTTTCTAAACTACATTGATGCTCAATATGAACATGATTTTGACAAGAAAAAATTTACAATTAGAAGTGTGTTTACACTTTGTGATATATTCATAAATTACAAAATCATTTTACAGAAGTCCATAATTCAGTATATAGCGAAAGCTGAATATATAGAGGTAGCATAAGAAAAATTGAAGTTATTTGATTGATTAGATTTATCACTTAGATGAGATTGAAACATGAGATTGTTCATCTTTACTTTGATAGTGAGAATGTGCTACATCTTGCTACAAATCAAATAATAAACAATAAAGTGCAACACCCTGAAATTAAATATTAGTTTATCAAAGTTGTAGTGTATGATAAATTGATTTAGATAGTCAAGATTGACAATGAATTCAATCTAGCAATTGTGTTGATTAACATTATTTCTTTAAGGAATTTAAAAAAAACATTGTGCTACTATGGAAAGTTTGCATGAGAAACACAAGTAGAATTTACAAACAACTTTTTTATCTTCATATATTTTTACCACATAGTATTTTTAACATGGCTTAATTTTGATAAACTCTAGTGTATAGAAATTCATATTGTTGGATTTTTTTTTATAATAGTTCAAAATAGTTATATATTTTAAGAAAGCTACTGTTTTGTACATCATAAATTCATGTTTTTCTAAATTAGTTCAATTTTAAAATGAAATTATAATTTAAATTAAATATAGATTTAATCCTAATTAGCATTAACATCAAAATTTCTGCTTCCATGTATTTATAATATTACAAGCTACAAACTTTGAACATTGAACTTTTGTAGTTTGTGAACTACATGTTTTCTTGTCGGCTTGTGTATGACTGGAGTTTTTGCTATTTTTAAGTTCATTTCATCTTTCATATTAGTGTGGATTATAAAAATAAAATGATTGATAAGAGAAAAATTAAGAATTGATTAATTATGAAAATTAAAAGAAGAGCACAAAAATTGTTTGAAATCAATAAAAATGATTTATTCTTTGAAATATAAATTGTTTATTTATAAATTCAAAAAAATGTAAAATACTGATTGTGAATAATTTAACCATTGTGAATAATTTATTATTTGATATGTAACTGATAAAAAATTTCAAAACTTGTTTGAAAAAAATTTGAGATCATTCAGGTAATTTGCAAAAATTATTTCAATTATCTTTGTGCACCAAAAAAATTTAAGAATTTCACATAAATTGTAGGGTTGACCATTCAATATATTTACATCTTTAGACTACATAATAATAGTAAATCAATGTTAAGTGTGTCACCAAATTTGCATCACCAAATTTGGAGCTATTGGATGATGTATGATGACTGATAAATTAATGATAGACTGAAGCTACGTATTCACATTTGATGCCAATTTGGTGAAGTTAAATAAAATGTTGCATTCATCCAAAATTAAAGTTCTGATGAATTGGACCAAAAGAATCACGCAACAGCTGAGGACAGCACTTCGATGTTGAGGGAGCAAACATGAGGGTCAGAAAGTGCATAGTCACTTAGCCTGATTGATCGATCATTAGATGCTGGAATTGCTTTGCCGACGTCTGCTAGTCTGATTGTAGCGTGGAGTTGCGCCTAGCACGGAGTTCCTGACCTGAAAATGAGGTGCATGTCAACACGTGCGGGAAATTGAGCAATCCAATTCCTCATATATAATCACGTTTCTCATTCATAACCAGGGTTAACTGCGGGCGGAACATAGGACAGAGTTCAACACTGAGGTGGTTATGTTCTTACCAAAAGCTCTCATATCGAACAACTTCCCTCCGTCCGGTGACGCATGACCGGCTCCCGGAGCATCTGGCCAGTACTGTACTCGCCAGTACACGCCAGTGAAAGAGGCGTCCAGTAACCCTCGGTACGACAAGCAAATGTCTGGAAGATGTAGAAAAGATCTACAGGTCTCGCATTATTGGGGCACTCGACGTCGCTGCGGACGTAGTAGTAGCACTTTTGGCTAGATCAACCCCGACCGTATGCCATCCATCCGTCAAGAACTCACCCGTCGAACGCGCACCCTCTGAAAGCCGTCGGATAGCATAGTAGCCTACCACAGTGTACCACATCCAGACAGGGGGAGCTGAAACCGCGTCGCGGGTATAAAAAAGCTCAAAGTACAGTACAGTATACGCATCTGACACCGCAGTCATACCGCAGTGGCCTACTGCAGAGTTGACATACTGCAGTCAACCGACCGAGAGCGCACGAAAGCCGTGTACTGGACCGCGGAGTCCAGCTGTCGCAGTCGCAGTCGGAGGGAGGCGTGTGGGACAGGAACAGGGACCGGGACAGGGACAGGGACAGTGCTCGGCTCCACAGAAGTGGACGAGAAAGGCTGCACGGCTCCTCGAGGCGCATACAAAGCTGACAGGCGCGGCCGGGCCCGGTCTTCTCCTCTGGCCCTCTTTTCTTGCTCTCCTCGCTTGCGCCTGCTCCTGCTGCTGCTGCTGCTCCTCGTCTCGTGGAGTGCACCGAGGGCTCCACAGCCGACGACGACGATCGATCCGAGCGTGGTGAAATCTGGAGGATCCTGAATTTCCGACCTGTGTGACAAGTGTGCGGAGCACCCGAGCCCCACCCAGAGCCGCGGAGCCACATTGCCCCGTTTCTCTGCTTGGATCTTTCGCGGACCCGGGGTTGGATTGCTTTACTGTTGGGGCGAGGCATAAATTACGATGCGGGCAATGGTTGGGGTTCACTTTGAGCAGTGAGGCTGGAAAGCTGGACCTAGAGGCGGGCGGAAGAGGCAGTCCCGTGTGAAGATTGTGTGTGCGCGGAAGCGCGGTTCGGAATCCGGATGTGGATGTTGGGCTGGCGATTGTGTAAGACTGATGCGTGATCGTCTGGGACCCGGCGTGGGTAGCGCAAATCTGGGATTCGAGGGCCGTGGCAGTGAATTGTCGGGCGGAGAGTGGGATTGTGTGGAATTGTGGTGCGATCCGAGATCTTTCGATGAAAGAAGGCAAACTGCCCTTCGTGATTGAGGCCGAGGAAGTCGATCGCCTGCACAAAGCTAGCGGATTGAGCCTTGAAGGCTTTCTGGCCACTCTGGTGGAGCCTACACGGTCGCTCGCCAGAGCTCCCATCTCGAAATTCCATGTGGGTGCAGTGGGGCTCGGATCCAGCGGTCGCGTCTTTCGGGGAGTGAACATCGAATTTGTAGGTCTTCCTCTGAACAACTCCATCCATGCCGAGCAGTTTCTGGTGGCGAATGCAGCTCGGAATGGCGAGCGTCGCCTCCAATTCCTAGCCGTGTCGGCAGCTCCGTGTGGGCATTGTCGCCAGTTCCTCCAGGAATTGAGAGGAGCGTCGGATCTCCGAATTCTGATTGCGGACTCCAAAGCCGAAACGCATGAGCTCTCTTACTTTCTCCCTCACAGATTTGGACCTCAGGATCTTCTGGAGGACGATTTCCCTCTCCTTCTGGAACCCCAATCTAACAGCCTGTGTTTGAATCCGAGTCCGCAAGAAGCATCTGACATCTTAGAAGATGCCACGAGGCATTCAGCTGGGCACCATGAGGACCATTCGGTTGGAAGCGTAGACCAGTCGGTACAGGGGATGAACGGCATGACACTCGCAATCGCAAATGGGCAAGGACACGAGGAGAGAGCCAATTTCTCCGATCAACAGCTCTTAGATGCCGCCCCCGAGGCTCAGAAGCTCATTCAACTGCAAAGTTTAGCTCTCGAGGCCGCCAACCACTCGTACGCACCCTACACCAACTGCCCTTCAGGCCTGTCGATGATGACCAGGAAAGGCAATTTGTACAAGGGTTCATACTTTGAGTCGGCTGCGTACAATCCCAGTCTTCCACCGCTGCAGGCAGCAGTTGTGGCCTTTGTGGCCGAAGGAGGGGGACAGTTCGATGAGATCTTGCACGTAGCTCTCGTGGAAAAAGCGGGAGCTACAGTTCGGCAGGCCGACACGATAAAGCTCGTCCTGGACAGAATTAGCCCCAAAGCTTCCTTCAGGGTGTTCGAAGCTTAGTCTCACAACTGGCATCTGCTCTCCTCCTGAAGCTGGACGAGTGGGCCTGAATATCGATGGCCTTCTCTTTGTCAATTTGTACATAGATCGTGATTCAATAAACCAATTCATCCATTATTTCGCTTGATCAAAGTAGGTCGAGAGTGATCCTCCCTAGGTCCTGGTGAGAGATTCTTTCTACAGCACTTACCGTATGAATCTATCTGCACGGGGAGCATGAACTCACCCTAACTGTCTTGATAATATAGCATTGCTGTCTTTGGGGAGTCCATTGTGATGACGTTTGCGCAGCATCTCAGAAGCGGCATCTGCATGACTTCCATATCAGTTCATCCAATTTTATGACCTCTATCATGAGAATCATGACAGAGGTGGTCAGATACCGAAACCTTCACCTGTGATGATAAGTAGGGTCATCAGCAAGGTGATGATCATCGTCATGATCACCTTGAAGGGAGACTCGAGACTGGAGATCACTGGTTGCAACTCAGGTCTTTAATCGTAGTCATTTATTATAATTCTTGATCAATGACTAAGCTCCTTCAAGTTGAGTGGAAGGTTTGTTTTTTTTCTTCTCTATTATAATTATTTTCACTGTTCCAAGACGCGCTTACGGTTGTCTCTAAGATGGGCTTGATGTGAAGTGCTGCCGGTTGTTATTGATGGCACTATAATGGTTTCCTTTGATCCGCATAGAATGGCGCTTTCCATGGTATTTTTCTAGATTAGTTAGAAGCCGGCCTGCTGTCAAGATGTGGGCCGGGAAGTGTTGCAGCTAGTCAATTCTGTGCTTTCTTTTAGACACTGCAAAATTTGGACTGCTCGAAGGACGAAGCTCGCGTAGGCATCGTTTCGCGAAATTACCTTATGTACCAGAAACCAAATGTTCGCCCTGCAAGTGTTCGAACGAATCGAACGAATCGGAATTCTAAGTTGTTATTCTACCTCCCAAAATCTTTGTAAAGCACCATCGAGTGTTGGCTTCAAAGAATCATAACTCAACACTAAAAGGAGCATCTTTGCTCAAGGCTGCAAGCCCATCACTGGAGAGAAGTATTAAGTGCGTAAGGGAGAGTAAGTAGATCCATAGTCCTAATAACTTCAGGGTCTACTTGTAGATGTCTATCGTACATTTGTTGGTGGTTACCTGGCTTCATGGAGTCTGAATCTAGGTTGTCGAAACTTCCATGCAGATTCTCTCTTGGCCTGAGATGGCAGACTCATCTGCCAACGGTTACCGCGTCAACTTGGAGTACTTCAGATTATGCCATCATATTGTTCACTTCGTCCAGATGTGTACCTACATGAACCAAAAGTTATGTCCTGCTTGTTTGATTATTCAGTTGGTAGATTTTGTCCTTTCTTGTTTTCAGTTATGTCTCTGAGACATAGACTGTGCCTGGTAATGTTCTCCTGTTTGTTATTGACCTTGAAACGTCCACAGGCACAGTCCTCGAAAGAATCATACTCAATCAACTCTTGTCGGTGTGGTCTGCTTTGCCAGTAGCACCGTTGTTGTTGACGACTGGAACGTAGTGTGAACGCTTTCCAGTTCGGTAGAAACTTTCGTGTGCTGTAAATTTGTGCAGCTGATTTATGGGTAGCATGAGACAATGACTGCTGACACGCGTTACCTGGAAATTGAAGGCTGTCACAGATATCGAGAAGTCCATTCACACGTGAACTCTCTTTGGTCTAGTACTTCACGGACAGTGCATCTTTTCCATGAACGTGTCGTGGCCGCTTACGTAATGAATATCCATAAAATATATTACAGTGTTGGTGGATTTTTCATTTTCCACATGCTTGAAAGATCATCATCCTGGACTGCGTAATCATCTACCTCGCAGATCCCACAGTCGGGGCAGGGCTGCTTAGAGATTATAGACAAATGATAAAGCTTCTGGTTTATCATTCTAGGCCAGTCTGGCTACAAACTGATCAGGGATTCGAACCACGTGGTCACGTTCAGCCAAAAATCCACATTTGCTGTCCGACTGAGGATGAAGTCTACGTGAGAATACTGCGGCAAAATAACAGAGCCCTGGACGCTCTGCTGAAGACTTTGGGTTACGATTGCAACATCAACCGTATTGGCAATAGCATCTTGTGTACCGGACACCATGAGTAGAGGAACCGCACTCGGGAATTTTGAAAAGGCGTATTCTGGAGGTATCGACTGATTATAATGGGCCACGTTCTGGATACGTCCGAAATCGTATTTACGGAAGGGACCCTTTCGCAGAACTGCACAAAAATAGCTACATCTGTTTAGTCATCCGTAAATAAACAATCTCCATATATCTCTAGAAATTCAGTGAGTCCTAAGAGCATTGGAAACGGTACTTCTTTTGGAAGATCACCCTTTGTTCATCTTTGAGAGAAGTTCGCAGGAGCAGAATCATATTGTTTTGCATTGAGCTCGGAATGAGTCAACGAGTGACAGATGGTTCGAGACGCGACTCTAAAACTGGGAAGGTATCAGTAGGTCCTGCCTTTTCTGTAAGAAGAAAAAGTCCATTCGGCATCTCCAAATATTGCCAAGATACATAGAGCAATATGTACTAAAATATGTATTCAATATATATTTGTAAATATATTGATCAAGCTAACAACAGCTCTGGCACACTTTAGAGTCTTCTACATAAGGAAGAGTAAGGAAGCCAATTTCAGTGGACTCTTCCAAAAACTTTACTATCAAAATTTCTCTTGAGTTAGTGAGCAATTTCTCTGTCAGAATGAAAAATAGCAACCGTTCACGTACTCTGTGCATAATGAGCAATGATTTTTGTCGAACTTGGCTGAGGATAATACTGGAGGTATAGGGGCACTTTATCCTTATCAACGCAGCAGCCTTCTCCTGTCAAGAGAAAAAGATTATGCAGTCAACATTGCGAGGATCCTCTGTGTTACAACATGAGAAACATACATCCCAACAAATGGAAGAAAATTCATGAAGCCCTCACCAATTATATGGAATTTGTTAAACTGAGTCCTTCTAGTTGACCATCCGAACATTGCTCTCAAAGTTGCGGCCCTCAGTTGAACTGAAGAATTTTAGAAATCTCCATATAGATATTCCTTGATACTGTGATGGGAAAGGACTATTTCTAAGGGTAACTTACCAGCAACGTTGGGGAGCAACTGCGTGCAGTCAAGGTTTGGTACAGCGCATATTGTGTCAATCAGAAAGTTGACGACATCGCTGAAGTCACAAGAAGTCAACAAAATCACATGGCGTGAAGTTTTGGCATGGGCACATGCATTGCGATCTAGGACGAACCACTTCAAGTTACTCATTTACCTGAACGTTTTGGGACAATTTCTTCTATCATGGCGGTCTCAACAGTCACCTTCTTCAAACAACAAAGGTCAAACTTGGACAAGGTTAAAAGAGTTTTACTTGTAAGAAGGAAATCTCTCACCTGTGCAGGTCGAACTCAGATATATGGAATAAATTGTACACCTGTCAGTTATGAAGTTCCGGAATATGAGCCTCGCCGCACATGGGAAATGTCAAAGATTCTGATCGTTCTAGTCTTGTACAGAACCTTAGCTGCCAGAAATCTGAACATACTTCTTTAATTTCTCTACTTTGAAACCCTACAGATTGAAGAATCCATATAAGTTCGTAAGATAATCTCTTACGACCCAAAGGTCGCATATCCCTCTTCTCAGCCCAGATTCTGTGAGTATGATAAAGACGTTTTCTACTTATATAATTTTCCTGATGTAATGACGATCTTTGTCCGGTCTTTGATATTTGGACAAACTTGAATTTAACAACATTGTGTTTAACTCACCGAGGTTATTTTTTTAAATCTTATCACTCACTTGGTCAAGAAACAAATGAGCTGCAACCTGATCGAAAGTTGATGTTACATGGGTCAAAAGAGCGACAGGGCAAACGAAAACAGCGCCCCTCACAATATCAACCAGATGTGCCGCTTGTTCGATCAAAGCAGCCAGCAATATTGTCGTACCCTGTTCAGAACCAGACCCTAAGAAAATTTAGAGATTCTGGTTTCATCTCTGAAAGAGGGGCTTCTAAGTAATGTCTTTAAGGCAAATCTAACTTAGCGAGTGCGTCTAGAAAGAGAAATCATCAGAATCTGTTGGCGCCAGCTGCACTTACCATGGAGTGTCCAACGTACATTATTTTTTGAGAAGTTTTGTTGTACACAAACTCCATCATTGCTGGTAGATCATATGCTGCCAACTCATCGAATGTCCAATCCCAAAAAGCCTGAACAGAATTCAAAATACGTTCTATCATGTCGGCAGTATAAGCTAGCAAACCATGGGAAGAAATTGTACCAACAGGAAATTCTACTTCCACAGCAATCATCTTCCTTCCATATTTTAGGATCGGACTTGAGATTGGGAAGTTAGATTCTCAACAAACCGGATCGCTGGAATTGAGGGATTCGTGTCCATGGCTCCACTCAACGCCGCGAGAGTTTCCAATCCACACGTCAAAGCCTAAATCTGCCAGGATGAATGCGAAGGACTCGTTGGGCCCATTTAGAAGCCAGCCCTCACCACCCTGAATAAAACGATTATGTTCAGCAGATCCGATTGCTAGGCATTGTAGGAACCGCTTGAATAGAAAGCACAACTTCATTGGGCAAGTTACTTACCGCCATAATGCCATGCTGGAGAAAGACAGGTGTTTCTTTGGAACCAATAGATCCAGCCAAGCCGTGCGGTATGTGCTGGATTGTGAGCTTGAAGCCGTCATTGGTCTGGACCTTCAGTCACATTGATTCATAATTCATCTCACAAAATGTCATCTAATTGTTTCTGTTGTCTGACTTTCCTCATTGCAAAATGCTCATTTCTAGGCAAAATGGACAACTATAATCAGTCAGGTCCTGAGCTATTTACATCCAGCAAAAACTCAAACTATCTCGAAACTGCAGCTGTTAATATGCTAAACGATTATATGCTCTAATATGTGACTATGTTATCAATTATGCAGGTCACACAGCCATCTGAGAGCTTATAGGCGCACTAGACGTCGGCCTAGGTGACAAAGACAACATTCTGATAGTCACACAAAACTTTAAGTGAATCTACTTTGAGATTGGACGTGTCTATCAGAGGTCTCCCACTGTAAGTTTCAGTGCACATCGAAGAGTTCCAAATCAAATTGTTCTGAACCTTTAGTGTTGAGATACAGATATCTGACAGATACAGGTAGAAAAGTGTTCAAGATAGAACTATTTACTGTGTATTCTTCACATGGATAACCCAGTGCACATCGAAGAGTTCCAAATCAAATTGTTCTGAACCTTTAGTGTTGAGATACAGATATCTGACAGATACAGGTAGAAAAGTGTTCAAGATAGAACTATTTACTGTGTATTCTTCACATGGATAACCGTGAGGTTCCACGAGCAACTTGCACAGCCCATCTTTGAACCTATCCTGGAAAGACACTTGCGCTTGCAGTTCATGGATCCCAGAGATTTGGGGCTGCCTTTGATGATCATCTATTACATATTCTCTATCCTGCAATACTCCCAATGCGTCAATCACGAGCACCCACGACATTAAAGTCACCAAGAAGAACATAGAAATTCCAACGTGGGAAATTAAGGTATCTCTGTCCTTAGTAGGTCCCATCATTGCTGACAAGAGCACCCTGGAGAAATGGACATGGAACGGACAGTTTCTCGATTCTCAGCCGATTTCGGAGGTAAACTTAAGTCCTTAAATAGACTTTCGTAGTTGTTTCCATCTCACGGCAGGTGATTAAACGTCTCCTCAAAACAAGGTCCGAAGTCATGATTTTAACTAAGCTCATCATTTCCATCCAGCAGCGGGCAACTCGAAAGCAGGTGCTCACCTAATAATTGACCGTACTAGACAAAGAGAACCGCCATGAAACATGGGCTGCTTCACACTTAATTCAACCTCTGCTCCACATTGACCTTCCAGTGATCTGGCAAGTAGCTATCCAGACGACACGGGATCGAGGACAGCTATGGACTAACAGGACAGGAAATTCCTTTCCATTTTTCTTTCTTTGGGAATCATCACTCATCAATCAACCCCGAAAAGGTGGAAATGAATCCACCCGTAATTTTGTGACCATATACTTGACATAGAAGAATCTTTCATAGGGACAATATCCATTATGTTTTGTGATGTATAGTCTGAATGATAATTCTCTTCAATTACCGTAAAGATATTCTCAGCAGCTTGATAAGATTTCTTCATGTCATCGGAGCACCAGCATCCAAATCACTTGAATTGTAATCTATAGTACAACACATTTTGGCACTTTCTGAAAAGTGCTCCCACCAAATTATACCTTGGCCGACGTTATAGATCGACACGGCATTCCAATTTTCTGTCTCGATTCAAGGACTTCTGCGTTTGACAGCCGTTCTGGTACCAGCTTTCCATCTCCTACGAAAGAAGTTCGGGTTCACACTTTCGGCGAAGGACATAAGCTGAGAAAGTAGAATTGTACTTCTTTCTGCATCTTTAAGGAAGAAATGTACCCCTAAGTCCCGACTTTTTTTCCTTGCAAGGACTGTCTGGCTTGATGCACCTCTCACGATTTAGAGGACGAGAGAAATTTATTCTGAACACTGGAATATAAAAATTCAATTCTAATGATTTCTAATTTCAAACTCGGTCAAAATCTCTTTGAGCCATGTACGACATATAATTAAGCGCCAGGCTCATGACAAGCACAAAGATTCCTCTTAAGATTTGTCCATGAGAGCCAAAGTCGTGACCTTGCACACTGAGAAGTTGGTGGGAGATGGCATATGTGTAAGGCATGGCCATTTCATGATTCTGCCCAGTTGCAGACAGTCGGTATTCGTTAGGCTCGCATACTCCGTGCTTTACAACGTGTCTGTGCGTGTAGTACAAATTTACAATCAGCTATCGTTCTGCGCTGGGTGTCTGACAACAGCTAAGCAGACACAACTATGAGTGGAAGTCTTCCGCATGCCCAACGTCGAACCTGGTATTCTTGAATAACACATGAACCTTTACCGAAGAAGTATGAACGTTGTTTGTTAAGACTTAATCATAGTTCTAGAGCAAAATTTGAGTTCACTCTATCCAGACTCACCGTCATGTGACAAGGGATTTCTAACTGTTAGTCTTCTCTATGTCTTTGTTGATTTCAGTACAAGAGTAGGCATAATTGCAGTACTCATATTTCTCGGGTACTGAAGAGTATCTCTGAGTCGTCTGTTTCTAAGGTGACCTGGCTGACTTTAAATCTGCAACAAATTCAGGTGAAGATGGTGGACGACGTGGCAGATGTGAAGCCCACTGCTAATTCTTCTGGTGTCTACAATTACAGTGCCGACAGAGAGTCCACATATCCTCAGAAGCGATCTGAAGTGAAATGGTAGGAAGTCTTACGACATCCAGTCTGTTGAAACGTGGAAAAGCAAGCTATATATTTACCTCTACATCCTTCCAGTCTTATCGGTTATGCCTTCCTGCATCCGAAAACCTCACGTGATTTGATGGAGTCTTGCAGTTATACGGAAGAATTACACTTCAGACCAGATCTCATTGCAGTGAGCTCACTAATCGACTAACAGGCTTCTACAATCCGTTGAAAATGACTGAGAACTGTTGTCGCTTAGTACTGGAATTAGTCTCGGATCTTAAAGGCCAGTACAGATTTGGCGAGATTGCCGACATGATTGTTTCATGACTAACTTTGTTGGCATCCTAGAATCAGTAAAAGAACGATCAGAAAGTCTTAGAAGCAGTCACAATGAATTCGAATGCATGTATGAAAAGGAATTGCAGAATGTTCCCTTCAAGATACATGGAAGAACCGTGTAAGAAATATCTATCACGATTGATTCGGCAATTCGAAATTGCGACAGCAATTTGCACTGACACACCCTCAAAGATTGAGCAAATTAGAGCAATACCCTTTTCTTTTCGTATATATTCTCCACGAATAGGATATGATCTTTTTTGGACATAAATTAAAATCAAGGTTCTATCCTTCAAAGCAATTTGGATGAATCAGAAAGGCTTCTCTGTTGTCTTCTTTGGAAAAATGTTCATGCTCTAGATCATGGAGCACACCTGCTGAACTGGTCTGGTTCAAACTTGGATCGAGCTTCAAAACAGTACTTTACCAGATTACAATCCGTTTCAATGGTTCCTGATTCAACAATTTAGAGTTTTGCATTGACACCATTTCCACGTATGCTGACAGACACTATCGAAACTTGAATGATCCGTTAAGGAACTATAAAAAGTCTTTGACAATCAAGAGTTTTCCCGGCAGCAGCACAACCCAAACCAGGAAATTGAAAATGAGGACTATGCACCGACCTTCAGTCCTAACACTCAGAGCAACGAGAATCCCGAAAGCGAGAACAGAGTGAAAGAAGAAGCTCAGATAACAGAAACAAACCAAAAAATAAGCAGGAAAGCGCGAGACCAGCGGCGTAAGCCAACTCCGCTGCAACTCTCGACGTAGGGAGTTGCAGACAGGGAAATCATTTCGATCCATAGATGAGAATAAAAATGACGAGAAGGACAAACTTAAAAGCCTCGACGCGATGGCAACAAAGAATGCCAAAAAAACCGCGAGAGCAAGAGCAGACCGAAATTATGGCGCGGTCCGCTCATTGGATAGTATAATCACCGGCAGAACAGATTTTGTTTTTTAGTATCTCCATCCAATGGCACAAATTAGTTTTTAGAAGGAGTAGCTAGTTAGCTAATTAGTACTCACGTTACTATACTATAGGCTCCTCTATGATTGATCTGACACTTATATGCTCTCTTTGATTGGTCTATAACCAATCAGATAACAGATTGTAATAGAATGAGGGCTAATTAGCCCAAAGTGAGAGATAATAAATCGTTACTCTTTTTTTTAAGGGGAAGGAGACGGATTGTATTGAAGTTGCGATTAGATCACATCGACAGAGGTACAAATCAATAGCAGGGACTGACCACCGAAACAGGGGCGAAAAGAGATGAGAAAGGTAATCTGTAAATGATGAAACACTCTGTATCGTATGGAGCTTATTCTAGATCTCTATGTAAGAGTTATAGATCAAGCTTCATCATTCTTGACCTAAAGCTGGTTGTAATGCTATGAGTATACAATATTTTAAAGTAGATGCCACAAGAATATGGTAAATACGGACTTGTAAGTGTATCATCATAAATCCAAGCACACTCTCTGTTAAATCTTTCTATATCTCATCAAAGTGCTACATGCCTCTCCAAATCAAATGGAATGAATTTTTTTCTCACATAGTCATCAATACCTCCCTATCTCAAACATATTCGTAATACTGGCAGTTACTCAAGCATGAAATTTGACTATGTTTGTAGCGATGAATTGTCTCGTAGTGTAAGTGACCTCAGCTTTATCTCAATGCACTCCTCCCTAGACATGTAAAAGTCAGCACACGCTGCATTTTCAGACGTGAGGGTGTACTAATGCAATCTCCACACATTATAATCTACTTTCTCTAGCAATACTCTCATATCCAAGAGTTCGTCGTGCCAAATAATCCGGGGTGTATCTGGATTTTGTACACACTCCCATTCAAGCGTACAAGATGTTAAAAGTTGAATCAAGCCCATTGATAGATGCATCCGTCTTGATGACCGTAATATCGTTATCCAGACCAAAACATATAAGCTCTAATACCACGGGGAGGGAATCATGATGCATAGTGGACTTAAAAGTATTTTCATGAGGGGAAGCAGGTATGAAAAGATATAACACTCTTGCAACTTTGCAATACTCTCCGACTCAACCTAGCATCCAACAGTAAACAAAGCACCAAATAAATCATCCAGGCAACGAGTGCCTAGCCATTTCCATCTTCGTGCTATCGCAACCTTGCCCTTTGATACACCCCAAATACTGAACCTAAACCATAAACCTAAACCCAAAGCCTTTTTTCACAAACCTTCTTCCATGTGAGATGGAAACCTTTGTTAGAATCGTGATCAATCCCCCTTTCATGAGGGACGGTATGTAGTACATCGTCCTCACCTAGCTCAAGGTTAGCACCCAAAAGTTGATATTTTGGGGAGCAGTATTCTGTGCTGCGCGAAGATGCATCTAGGCACCATACGATGTTCAGGCCTCGGCTTTCATATCGAGTCTCCGAAGCCGAGTTTGCCTCTTCATCGTCAAATGCCTTCTCTCGATCTGGGCCTCAGTTTCTCTTCACTATGTTCCCCAAATTCTGAGGGTGGGCACTCGGCGGATGCATCCAGTGATAAATGCATTTTGCCCTCCTCCTGTCAGTATCAAAAAATAACTTCATACACATCTCGAACCCATATATACTCTTTGTTGCAGTCCGCTTTCTTTCTTTTCAGAGGGGGCAGACATTCTTGCATGGGTGACACCCAGCCTTCATGTAAATACCATTGATTTCTAGTTGGATTCAGTAGGACTAAGTGGTAACCGTCACTAGCTTGAACGGCGTTATGCGTTTAGATCAAGATGTCCTCCTGAGAGTGGCATCAAGAATGTTTGCATGCATTTTTTATTGTAACGGCAGATGGATCGCCGTTAGCATCAAGAATGCATGCAAACATTCTTGCAGGCGGACATCTTGATCAAAACGTACAACGCCGTTCAAGCTGGTGACGGTTACCATTCAGTCCTCCTGAATCCAACTAGAAATCTAGAGTCTTTACATGAAAGTTGGGTGTCACCCATGCAAGTGTTGTGAGAAGGTTCCCATGTCATGTGAGTGAACAATATGGAGACAAAATTTCTATGACAATTGGTGCAAGGATATATTTCTGCACATTCCATAAGTTGGAGAGATATACATCAACCTTGTAACCCAATCGTCGGGGAAGCAATCTTCTACATAGAGTGTAATCATAAGACTTCAAGGCTGTGTAATGTGTGCAAATAACACATTCCACTTTCCTCGGTCGCAAAGAAGAAATCACAAAAGAACATGAGATGTGGTATTTAGCTATAATTGAGCTTTTTAACTTGTTTCTTGGATGTCAAACTCGTTTATTCAAATCATACCAATAATGCTTGGAAAAACATAAATTTTTTCATATATTTTCATGTGTAGATGTATGATATTAGTTGAATATATTATAAAAAAACGGGAGGTTTTATCAAATACTCTCAAGATTAGTATAATTTTTAGTAACCCAAGACAAATGAGAATAATAGTCATCACGCGTTTACATGTGGAGAGATACACTTGATATATAATTAATCACCTATTACACACTATAAAATGACTAAATCCACTTTTTATTACTTATTAAATACAATTGAGGAGGCAGGACGATTTATATTAACAATATTAAAGTTTATTAGACTACAATAGACTCTTTATTGTAGAAAAGAGTTCTATTTTATTTCAAAAAAATACGTCATATTGTACATTTGGATATATATTTCTAAAATAGAGAAGAAAATAATTATTCAATGATTTGTAAAACTAAAGATCAAATAAAACTCTAATCATATAATTTGTTGTCTAATAATATTCATTAAATTAAATAGAAAGAATGCAAGCAAGATGTATGAATTTTTTAGTTTTATGGATTTTCTTCAATTATGTATTTTTAGTTTTTCAAAAAAAATTATTACACTTTTTTCTTTTCTAGTGAAATTTAATAATTTTTTAAATTTTACAAACTTATCTGAAAAAAATTTATACCTAGGCATGTATCAATCATATATGTATATGTATATACGGATATTATAAAAAAAACTAGAGTAAAGCAGATTTGCAATAAATTCCATACTTGTACTTCAAATCTTTAAGAAAGAAAAATTTTTTAGAAAAACTAAAAAACATTGGAATGATCTTTAGATTGGATTAAAGACCGAAGGCAGTTCAATAATTGCAATTTGTTTCACACCTTGTACATTCCAAATTTGATTACAATCTAGTCTAATGAAAATTTCTCAGTCAATCAGATACTTTCTATCAATTTTCTTGGCTAGATGCTTTGTTGTGTCTACCTGATTTTAACGTACCCTGAAAGTTGTGTGTAATTTGTAGCAGCTGTTAATATATTCTTACCAGTTTTATTCGAAAACACATTAAAAGCGGAATAAAACCGTGTAAGCTCTCGAAGATTTTGAATTTGATATCTTGAAGACTAACCAATGCCTGCTATACATTAACATAAAAAAATCTTAGACCGTGTCACTTCTTTTAACTTCATGAGAATGTGACAATCAGTTGTCTTCGGGTTAGTTGTAATTTTTGTGGATGTAACTGCCGTTTGCAGTTTAGCGTTTGCAGTACTTGTCTAATCAGTATGTTATACATAACATATGCACAAAGGTTATTTTTTTGAGATATATATAATTTCCATATAGTTCTAAGAAATAACCGTAAAAAACAGGTATCGTAAAACCGTAAAATCAATATAAATTAAATGTAATGTAGTGTATATATCGGAATATACCTCAAATGGAAATGTGACCAAGAATGACAATGGAGTGCCATTAGAAACTTGGCCCTTTCAAAACATAGAACGTAATCCTTGTTTCTCCTTTTGGGAAACATGCATAGTTTGTGAACAGACTGTATATTACGCTTCAAACCATAGTTTTTGAGGTTTCCTATGGTTCTTGTCATCGACAGCAATAAAAGGCACTAGGGAACCACAGTTCAAATTGACTAGTACAAGACGTGGACGAAAGCAACACCGGAAGAATATAGTTAAGCAAAAACTCAGTCTCCATCAATTTGAACCCTTTGAGAAAGCGAACTTTAGAAGTAGGTCCTGTGGTGACACGGTCAGTGACAAGACATGGAGCCTTGTGAAGAGGAGGCTTCCACTCCATAAGGCTCCATGTCTTGCTTTTCAGTAGCTGAGAGGAGGCTTCCACTCAGCTACTGAAAAGGTTCTCCAGTTCGACAAAAGGTTCTGTGCTACCGTCCCAACAAGTCAATTTGCTATGGAAAATCAGTGACTTTCAGATGATATGGACATTTTACTTCAAAATAATTTATATCTTCGGATGAAATTAACTTATTTAAAAAACTATTCTGTATATACGTATCATTCATACGAATAAATTAACATTCCGAACAAGTGCTCTCGTACAATCCTCTCAATCGATGAAACTCATTTCCAATTTGTGAAGTTTTTGCGCACATTCTTGTGAGCGAAATAACACTTTCGTGTAATGAATGGTCGTTACGAATAAATCGTCCTGTCTCGATCTTTCAAAGGGACGTTTACATCAGCCTGTGCAGCTTTCATTGAACGCATTGGCTTGCGCTTTATCGTTGTCCTTCATTGAACTGAGTCTTCAACAACAGCTGTCTACCCGACCCCGTACATTTGGACATCAATGGGGCTTTGTCCAGCACTGATCGAAATCACAGGCTCATCAACAGAAGCACACGCATCCCTCCGATGACAAGATGTCTTGTGAAGGACGTAAGAGCCCGACATGGTGTAACATGCTCCTCTCAAGACTAAAGCCAAGTACTTTCATGATACGCCCAGGGGCGTACGCCTTCAATCAGGGGGATTGTGCCATATGCCTCAGTGCCAGCAGCACGAGATCGAAGAGCAGAGGGTTGAGCATGGGATTGCTTGGTGTTGCTTAGTCCACCACGTCTCCACTTTCATCCTCGCTGTCCATGTCTGATGAGGCTGTTACCATCTAGCCCTCAGTAACGTAAGTAAGGGTTAAACGGGTAATAAAATGTATTCTACCTCTACTCTACCCTTACCACATTGGTCGCTTTTTCTTTATACCTTTATCTCTACTTTACCCTTTAACCAATAATTAAAATTACCCAATAAAATTTTAAAATATACTTTACTTTTTCTTTACCCTTTAATTGGGTAATTACCCAATAAATTTTAAAAATACATTTTATCTTTACTTTACCTGTTAAATGGGTTATTGTCCAATAAAAATAAAAAATACACTTTCTTTTTAATTTATCCGTTAATCAGATAATTACCCAATAAAGATAAAAAATACACTTTATCTATATTTATTCATCTACGTTCTTAAATCACCAAATGGTTGCATATGATGAGAGTCTCTAATGACAACTTGATTTGATTCTCAATTTCTAATGAATACAAAAATTATCAATTTGCCAATAATAAGTGAAAAGGTTAATTTATTATCTAAATAATATATATAATATGTATAAATATATTTTTTTAAATTTTAAAAATCTTTTGATATAAAACATGAAAAAATTGTCTGTGAACGATGTGAATACTTCATCATTTTCTATTCTTAACCTATTCTTTTATTCAGAAGATGACTTAAAATATACAGGGAAAGTTTGAGCACCATTAGACAATTGTATTATTTATATAGATAAATTAACAATCTTAGCATATCTTACAACTGGAAGGCATGTTAACGCTTTTGCTCTGATATAGGATTATACACATATTTATAATTATTATTCTAGAAATCATAAGTTTTGTTATGTACAAAAAATCCCACATATATATACTGCCAACTTAAGAGGTAATTATTCGGATAATGGATAAGTAAATGAGCATTACCTTTACTCTACATTCTATCTCACCCATTGATAATCTTCCTACCTTTACCCCTGACTTTTACCTTTGAGTAAAAGGTATTTTACGTTACCTTGCCAAGGTCTATTACAATCAGGTTCAAAAAGGTTTTTTCTAAAAAAATAACTAATTATTTATTGGCATGAAATTGGCTTTTTTTTTTAGCCTGATATACTAAATTGTTCTCAAGTTAACGAGGATGAAAGGGCAGTGTCTGATGTAGGTTCATGTCCTTGCTTGAACAAGGCAGCTAATAATGGAGATGAATGTCAATCTCCAAGGAAGCGGAACGTAGCTTCTTGGCTGACTCCTCTATGTGCAACAATTCTGAACATCGCATTCTGAACTCGTGTAAATTCCATATGCAACCCCTTTCAATAGTCATATACTTTTGATTCATACCATTGTTGAAATCGGGTTTTTTAATTAACCCGCAATTATTATCGATAAAAGTCGGGTTTTTTCCACATGTGTGTCTACTGTCCCTAGAGGCACATTCAGAAGCTTACCGTACACGTTCATGTCCACCGAGTGGTCATAGTGAAGAATGAACGCCTAGAGTCATTTACTAACGTAACACAAATGTGTGTAGCACAATCAAATATCTTCTCCTCAAATATTCCACCAAGGCTTGGGCGTGATCAATATCACATAAATATACATATTTCAATAGAGCCAGATACTCCAAGTTCTTGCACTAGCTACGCTCCATCATAGTCGCATGTCTAATGCTCAATCTAAAAATGTGTTCTTTAGAGTCCTATTTCAAAGTCCATCTCCTTGATTTCATAGATCTCCTAACAGCAATATCAACCCTAACGCATCCAATTCCTCCGGCACTGACTACGCAATTGATTCAACATAATGTGTTTGATACTACATATAAATATCTACCGACTAAGGTGACTATTGCACGAGTCGTGAGAGTTGTTATACACATATATATATCGCATCCATATGTAAATCACTAATACATCAAACATCACAATATATACCACAATAGCTCACTTAACTTGTTCGTTAGTCCCTCTATTACAAATTAGTCTAGTCCATAAATGCTATGACCTCCGTGGTGCTAAGGTCAGAAGTTTGTAATGTCTTTCTACAATGTGAATAGTAGAATAATCAAACCAGCTTGATTCTTAACTCCACCAAACTCATTTTCACCTCCTACAGGGCATAAGATTATGAGGAAAGTGAAAGCATGAAATATACAATTCTTTGGAAATAAATCATAAATTACTATATTTGCCATCATATAAAATATCCACACAGAATACAATTTAAGTCTAGTCGTACCACCGTCAGATCTAGATTTATGGTACATCAATGTTTGGAAGACAAGATGGCATAACATAACGCACATGGTCCTTCAATATCATACCATCATGAACCTCCAATACCAAGCCCTCCAAAGTATAACCTCACGTACTTGTGAATTTGTGCGAGCAATAATGACATCCAATGTACTCGGTGCACTCTGTAATTTTTACAGTCGAGTTCTTAAATTGAAGTTTGATAAATTCCTCCGAAAATGATAGAATAGACTATGGTATTCTTATACTGAGCAATGGCCAGGTTTTTAGGTACCATAGACATTAGTGTACAAAGGATTTCTTTTCTTCTTAAAACACATTCTATTCCAAACATCTAGATAACCTTAGTCTTAAGTTTCACTAATTCTTGACAAATAGCTGCATGTAAGTCTGGATCTCTTAACAAGATAGAATGATCAATCAACGTCCAATCTCATGATGCTTGAAACTCATCCAAAAACATAAATTTTTTATCAGTCAACACTTCTGCTGCAATGTACAGACTCTAAAACTGAAAGTTCAACACTATCAATTTCGCAACAGATCCAAGTAAACAGTTTCAGAGAACTATCACATATCACTCCAGAAAATTAAATGTTAATCACTTGTTTGCTTTTTTGCAAAACAAGGCTTCATCAGAACAAAGCTTTTCAATTTCTTTTCACCTTTATTTTACGCCTCAAAATCATACGTTATCAGCAAAATTATCCGTTTTTTAACTTTCTGGTATCTAGTCTGAAAAAAAATAAAAGGGCCAGTAAAGTTAAACAAAGCAGTTTTTTAAACTTTTGGTGTTTTTTTATCGCCATAAATTTTGAGTTCATTATATTTATATCATCATGATCTGTATTAAGTCTAAAATTTATCTTACAATACTTATCAAAATATATTATTTTTTCAAAATTTAAGTTTAAATGATAAATAAAATAACATAGAATTTATGTTTAAAATTTGGTGCTTGTGAGTCTGAGACTTCTAGTATTGTAACTCTTGCTTCCAGTGAAAACATTTCCGTCAAATTTGATCGCAAATAACATGAATGTTCAAGGAAACTAAAGTTTTAAGCGCGAACTTCAAGATTACTAGTACTCGAAGTACTCGTTACGATGAACGGAATCTGCTCCTGAATGGCAAACAATCTGGTTGTGAAATTCAAACTCAGCAAGATATTGTTTTTTATCAGGATCGGACACCATAAGATATGGTGAGGAGTAAATATGACTTGAGTGGCAAGTGGTTCATGAAACATATTAAATGGCTTGCGCTTTTTCAGGTCCTACATGCATATCTTTCTAATTACCTTCATATTACCTAGCAGACCCTAAGGTACAACTGTAATTCCTCAAGATAATCCATCTTTTTCGGCTTATGCATATCTAAAATCAAAAGCATTTCACTCAATGTTACAGGTATAAATTTTTACAGTGACTGGCCTGAAATTTCTCGTTTCTCTAGGCTAACAAGTTCCAAGTTCATTATCAAGTTAGAACAGTCCAAAAGAGTACACGAAATCATATTCGATCTGATGAACAGGTGAATTTCCACCACTCGGGGATTCATTGTGTCTAACAGTTACTGTATTACCTCTCCAGGCCATTGCCAAATCACAGCTAAATGTGTACCCCTAGCCGGTCTAATGTAGTCCTGTGTGGAAATTAAGTTTCAAACCTAGTTGAAATATCTAAACGAACATGTTGAATTGACTTACTTTAAGTATCTCTTTGATTATGAAAAATATGTATATGTTCAATTCTTCTGAAGAAGAAAGGTCAGATGCAAATTCTGCTCTAGCTGATAAAAATCGAGGCAACATCACAGGTTTTCACATAACTGATTTTTCTCTATAAATTCAAGATTTTGACGATTCGACTTGGCTTTATCAACCTTACTTTGCCCCCAACGCCTTGGTTTTCCACGGATTATCACTAGCTCCTCATCTGTGTGTTGTCGAAGTGTTCAGTCTGTCGTCTGATATAATCGAATCTGACACGATCGCCCATGAAGACGCTATACTAAGTGACTTCGGGAAATTAGGTGTATTTTACCAATTTACCATCGTTCTGAATGCAGATCGAAACATATCATCGGCAAGTGAATGATGGAAGGAGTCTTGCCAGCTCGCAGGTCTGGCCATTGATTGATTGAGAATTAGGCGGCGTGTGCGGTAGGGAAACCGTGTACGGGCGAATATTGGGCAGATAGAATCTGACGAGCGCTTGTAGAAGGCGAGGTCACATCTCAGATTCAGCTATGGATAGGTACTTTTGGAACCAATTTTTACATGGTGACGACAGACAAATTGTGGTACTACCTCGGAAATTGAATCAATTTTTCGACTAGATTGAACACAAGTTATAGGAGAAAGCCAGTTTTCATCGATGAGATATATTCTTAGAATGAACTTCTACGTACTCAATTATATACATATGTTTTAACTTTTGTACTTTCTTAAGTCATATGAATGTTTCATTTTCTCAAGTTTTGTGTTTCAAACGTTTCGAAGGGGAGACAATTCTATGTTTATCAGTATTTCAGATTGAGAGTCGCGCATGTGGACGAACATGTTCACTACAGACAGCGCACAGTTTAATAAGAATCATATATGGCCAACAGGTATTAATCTTCGGCCTTTACTTGATAACTTGAAAATTCAGATCTTGAAATCAATGGCTTGAAAAAAAGATCTCATGTAAATTGCAACTGGATTGTGAATACATTGTGGATATGAAATGGACAACGATATCAAATCGATGTGATGAAGCCAGTAACTTTTAAACTCGTAACCGAAAGAACGAAAATTGAAAACTCTGTGAACCGGAAAGCGGATTGCTAGGCGGCTGCAAAAAACGGGTAACCGAAGTATTAGCACGCTGGCCTAGCTGGTCATCCCTACGCGAAAGATTAAACACGTATCCATTTAGCTATGGGTGCTTCAATTAAGCTCTTCCATCTTTCGGATACCATTCTGAGTTACATAACTGCTAAGCCATACTAGACATCCTACTGAAGATTATACTAGCAAGACTCAACAATATGTTTTCGAAAATTTATTAGCAAGACTCACCAGTATGTCTTCCATAAGGATATCTAGTATGTTATCCAATCGTCCCATATTGCCTGACTTTTTTCACCCAATCTCGTGTCAGAATGTGAAATCGTTGACAGTCATAAAAGCTTCTCGCGTTTCATTCGCCAATCTGCCACCACTCACCGTTCTTGAGGTTTTGAAACTCAGAAAACTCATGTGACTACAGGTACATGAAAAAATTCAATTCAACTCACTATAATGATAAACGAAGAAGATTCGGGAGAACATCGACAATCTGTCGATGATTTTTGACTTTGATGGCACGTTGCTAGCATCAAAATCAAAAATCATCGACAGATTGCCCGATGCACGTTGGTGGCAGCCGTTACTGGTAAACGAAAAACATTTCGCAGAACTTGACCTCAAAGTTGATACGTCGATAACATCGTGATCTAGAAAACGAAGAGAGGAATTCGACATTCTCCATGAGTGAACAGGGACCTCCTCTCTATGTAATCTCTGACCTGCAGCCTGTTAGGTTATAGCTTCGGCATCCTGGCTCATTCCTGTCTGGACTGCGCCCCCACCACGTCCGCTTGACCGAACCCTAATGCCAGCTCCTGCTGAGCACAACTCGGGTACAAAGAAATCGGAACGGAATGGGAACCGTATGCGGACCTGAAGCCTGAGTAGTTACTCTCTGAACTGGGACGTATGACGCAGTCCGAAACGGACTGGATTGGTCTGTTGTGATTAGGTCTGGCAGCCCTAGCCGCCACGGTAACACTCTCAAGACGGCGGTAAATTCCCACGTCGTCGCCCTCCGCAGCCCGAAACCCCCCACCGACTGAATCCTCATCGGATCGGCTCACCGGCCACGACCAGTATGTTCCCCTGGATCGCGATTCAGCTGCTGAATCGCGATCCAGGGGAACGTATGCTGAATTTCATCTTTCTCTGCTGAATTTCAGCAGAGAAAAAAGCGGAGGAAGCAAACCAATAACGGCGTCAAATCCCCGCCAGTATGGGGCCTCGCTAATCCTAATGATCCCCGATCATCTTGATTTTTGTGTATGACTTGAACTTTGAGAGTGTTCGAATTCTTCTATATATATATATATATATATATATATCAGACATCTTGAGGGTCTTATTACTTTGCACTTGATAGATCTCGCCCGAAAAAGGGTGTACCTTTGTAGTGGACATTAAAGCTGGCATAAGTCTTTTGATTTTCACGCCAAGGTTCGATGAGTATTTGCTCATAGTGATATTATTCAAAAAAATCCAAGATAAATCGCAAGGAGAAGATCATGTAGGCCATTCACTATGCTTTTACTACTTCTGCAATACTTCTTACACAGTGCAGCCTCAAGCTGCCCGATAACTGCAATGTTAGAAAAAAGCTCTTAAGCTGTAGATTTAAACATGGTGTTGACTTTTTCTTTGCTGGTGGTTGTGCAACTGGAACTCACTACATCATGTAAATGAGATCAAAAAACATTCACATGATTGAATTGATTTGAATTTTTATCAAAGCTGCGATATAAATTGATGTAACCGATACATAAAGCTTCAGTTCTACATTGTTATTGTTCCATCTAAGTACAAAATCTCATCTCGGTATTCATATTGCAAGTAAGTGTGCAACAATAGACTTACCCGGATTTGTTGGAAGTTGTGTGAGGCAAACGCCCAATGAATGCCTAAAGGATGCATTTATTTCTAGATAGGAATATCAAAATCAATTTGACTTCAATGGTGTTGAATACGACTCTACTTCATTTAGGAAAGTCCAACAACAAACATCTTAATCAAATCATACGTAAGTTTCATCAATCTTGCTGAGTACAAACGTTGTTACTAAGTAGTGTCATTGATTGTAGCTGTTTCACGCTCATTTTCTTAATATTTAATGAAACTTTCGCAAATATACATTTGACTTTTTAGTGAATATCATTTTGCTCAGTCGGCTTGATCCGAGATGCTTCTTTGTAGATCTTTCTGAAATGCTGAATGACTAACCTTCTGACATGAACATGACCTTATATAGCTATCTTCACATGATACTTGATGATTGATAAGTTTTGATGTCTTGTTTAAATCAAAATAATTTGAGGTTTGAGATTGTTTAAAATTTTGGTGAAAACTTGCAAAAACTACATTCTGAATGTTTAAATTTTTTGTCATATATATCAGACATTTTGAGACTATTCTTAATTGATTTTGATGGATTTCGACCAACAAACAGTGTGTTGTCATCAAGTATTTCAGATTTATTTCTTGCACTTGTGTAGTGGACATTAACGTTGGCATCAAGGCTTTTCATTTTCATGCCCAATTTCAATGGTACCTGTTCTTAGTGATATTATTGTTTGTTGATTTATTATTATATCACATGAATCTAAAAAGTTTCAAAAAGCACAAGACAAGGAACATATGATGTGATATTGTTCTCATCTTGTAAGAAATAAGTTATAGATATTATAGTTGGAGTTTTTGTTATCATGCACTCAATGCATCAAAGATAATTTGAAATTTCTTTCGTTGCAAGATGATTACATTTTCTAAAATATGATAATAAGTAATTATTACATTTTCTAGTTCATGAAAAATTGAAGCAAAACATAAAAACTCAAAATTAAAAAAAAAAACTCAAATTGTTATTTTCAGCCTTGAGTTTTTCATGAAAATGTGATAACCATCCATCACACTTGAAACTCCATTATTAGTGCTCCACATGAACACTTCCAAGTTCAATTCTCCAAGTGAAATCAAGTTCTTATGATCTGCCGTACGTTCATCAAGATATGAATCATTCGAACAAACAATTGAATCTTCTTAGATACAATGTTAACAATTTTGCAAGCGTGTTTATTTTCCATAATAATTGTACCAGTTGACATAGTGTAAGAACTAAATGACTCATGAAAAATGAACGTGAAAAATAAAAATAACGTGAAAAATGTGATAAGAGCAAGTTGAATCCAAAATCCATTCATCATTAGTAACATTTACGAAAGTACAAAGTGCAATACCAAAATTTTCAATAACAACCAAGTTTGTTAGGTATTCATCCATTCCCTTACTACAACAATCTTTGCGAATGTGACTAGATTTGTCACATTTTCAACACTTGATAAACTTATCATCTCTAGACTTGGGCTTAGATCTAAACTTGGTATTAGTATTTTCATTGTTTTTTCCTTAGCAGACCTAATACCACAAGAGATTGTCAAGGCAGTAGACTATGAAGTGGATTGACCCTGAAGAGGTATCCACAATCTTGATTATCGTCAATAAAGCACTAACGAATTCATTGTATGTGATGATTTTATTGTCATGTTGAAGCAGCATCCGTGATAGGAATCCCCATAAGGTCGGCAAAGAATTTAGTAACTGAATTTTCGCTCATCATTCAAATCTTCTCCAAGTTTCTCAAGATCCACAACCAAATCATTGAAGCCCTATACATGATCTTGCATCTTGACACCTTCTGTCATATTGAAGTTGATGAGCTTCAAAGCCGTGTACAACCGGTTTGAAAGCTCCTTCTTATTGTACTTCTCGCGCAATGCCGCAAACAAATCTACTATTGTTTGCGCCACCTCCATTTGCTTGAAGACATTTGGCTTGAGATATAATACCACAATACTCACCGTCTAGTATTGAATGTCATTTCAATCATCATCATCTACGTCGTCGAATTGTGTATTAAACATCTTGTCCAAAACCATAGCATCAAGTACATTAGTGACTTGTCGTTACCACAAGACATAGTCATTGCGTCCATCAATTTTTTTCATCTCATATCGTGGACCTTAAAACTCACTCCGCGTTATCAGTCGTTTTTTTAAAAAAAAAGCGTGAGCTGAAGTGAGCGCTCTGATAGGATCAGATTCAAATCAATTTGGGAGGAACCTAAAAAAACATTTGCCAGGTCCAACAATATAAGGAAGTAATTGCTTGTCATCTCGAAGCACAAAATTCAACAGAACTGGTTTATATCACATTAATCGTGGCTATTGGTTCTAGCATGACAATATTATTGCGGCAGACAAATCAATAGCTCAGCTCTCCATTATGTCTCAAACATGTGTACATTTGAGACTAAACTGAAACAAATTCATCCTAGTATTAAATATCTCAAATTCTAATTATAGATCAAATCTAACTACGATTAGACTAACTAAAATTAATAAAACAAGAGTGAACCGTACATAAGTGTAGTTATACGTATCATATATTAGTTCAAAAATATTCATGTGCACATCACTTATATGGGTGAGCTTATAAATATGATCATGACTAAGATAACAAAATTTCAAAACATAACTCTTTAGTATATGATGGCAAAAAATCATGTAATTAAAAAATATTGCGTTTGAGAGAAAAAACAAAAAAATAACAAAATTTAAACTTTAATATATAAAAAATTTGAAAATTTAATGCATAATACTCAATTCCAATTAAAATCATATTTTTTGTTAATATTGCAAAAAAATAGATTACAACTTCAAGATCTTGAAGAATAATCCATCAAAATTTAATCGGATTATCTTTGAAGTAGAAGAAATACATGGGGAGTATAGCAATGAATAACTAAGTAGATTTGATCATAAGAATAAATAAAAATTTATTTCATTTCTATGAATCTGATTTATATAAAAATATATTTGAAATTATATCTTGTAAATAAATTTTTACATAATATATCACATATTATCTTCACAATAAAGTGTTTCAATTTTATGTAGTAAGGTGCAAGATTAATTTTTGCAAAATTTCTACCATGTTAATGTTTTCAAATCATAAAAATGAATTTATAGAATTTCATTTTTGCAAATTTCAAGTAAACATAAGGTATTCATAAATATGTTGAAACATTTTTTGATCTTCAAATATCAATCATAAATATGATCTGAGCAAAAGACTTAAATATGTTCAAACAATATTTGAAAAACAAATAGGTAAAAATATTGTGGTAACCCACTTTTTGTTTTTTGTCGGAACTAAAACATTTTTGAATAGTAAGTACCGCGGCAGCAGCTGTAAATAGTAATCGGTACGCGAAACCAGAGGATCGAGGACAGTCAAGGGGTTTTGGGCTTAGGCCACAGTGGGACGCTTGGGACGGAACGGGCGGTTCATGCTCCAGGATCCGCTTCGAGCACCTTCGGCGGTTGATCACTCATAACTTTCTCAATTCGTAATGCCTTGAGTTGCTTCGGGTCTTGTTGCAAAGAGCTCGCGACGCTCGTTCTAACGAGACCAAGAACTTGTGAAACGGATGAGAGGTCACTGAGTTATGAGTGTCGGAAGTTACTGATGGGGGGGCCTTCGGCGGTAGAGCGACTTTGGCGGTACGCCTTCGGCGGAAGAACCGCCGGAAGATGCGCCTTGGGCGGTAGACGCCTTCGGTCAACGCCTTCGGCGATACGGGAGAGTGCATTCGGCGGAAGAGTGAAACCCTCATAACTTTCTCAATGCGCAACGCCTCGACTTGGTTAGGGTCTCGTTGGAAAGAGCTCGACGCGCTGATTCTAACGAGCCCAAGAACGCCACGAACGGAAGAGAAATCCGAGAGTTATGAAGGTCGCAAGATACTCAGCTTTCCGCCTGTGCACAGGCGAAGAAAGTTTTGTCCTATGCGCGGACGAAGGAAGTTCGCCTGTGCACAGGCGAAGTAGGGTTTGGGGAGGCGCGAAGTCCGCCTACGCACAGGCGTTCGCCTGTGCACAGGCACTTCGGCGTCGGCGGAAAATCCGCCTTGGGCCCTAGAAATGCGCCTTGTGAGGTAGAAAGTGTACGGCGCCTTCCGCGCCAGCGCGGCGCCGCGTACGTCGGAAGAGCCGCCAGAGTAATCAAATCGGTAC